ACGAAACAATCAATACCAAGCAATACAAGTGAAGTAGACGGTGAGGAAACACACAGAAAGCAACCAATATCACTCCAGGTGTCCAGGACAGATGACTCATAAACTCGTGGAGAAATTGTAAACCTCACTTCAAATTGGAGTGTGCTCTGAGGATGTTGTGTGGTGAGGTAGGTAACGAAAGCTTCTCAACTGAACCATCGAACTCAGGGAACACAACTGCACCAAAATCATCCATCCATCTCTGCTACAAATCTTATCCATCATACTTTCTTCTCTTCACTTCCACATGACATTCTCACATAGCTAATTCTCCTTCTTCATTTTCTAACTCAAATGTCAGCGCCACTCCGTCCAATATTGAGTTGTTAAGTGTGAATTAACTAGAGATATGTTGTGTTATTAACAGCGTGGATACCGTGTAACTTTTACTTTTCCGCCATACCTTTCGAGTAGGATTATCTATTTTCATGCAGATATCGGGTCATAGGAAATTTGCAGATTTCAGGATTATCGACCTCAAGAAGGTTATTAGCTTACAGGGAAATTCAATACTAACACAGTTCAGTCACATAATAGGTCGGAATTCACATATATAAAAGGTGACATAGTCAGATGGGAGGCGAATTCGATCACTGAATCCTTATTCTCCAAATTCACACAGATCACTTGTCACACGAAATAAGCTGAACCAATAACAGAGATATCGGCTATAATACCGGAAATAAAATCAGAGGATAAGAGATAATAGAAGTATAGAAACAACATCCGATGTTATGTCAGCACCTTGACAGGATTATGACTAATAAATTGCAGTCGACATGTCATCCAGATATAATACTGTATTACTCATTGTGTGGATTTCATCAAATATAACTACTATGTGATGACGGAAATGATTTCGTGCCTATTCTCCGCTAAACAGAAGAAGTCGGCCTATTTCTAATCCACCTGATTGCTCCTATTACAGGTGAACACGAAACATGTTGATGAGTGAGGAAGCAGTCGACTAAAGATGAGCATCCCATAAGCTCACTGAATCAAATCAACTCGAAGTAAATCAAAGTCATTTCTCTTCGCCTGATGTCACCACCTCTCACTCGATAAATGTAAACACCACAACACTCACAAACATATTCCCATCGAGTTTGCAGACTGACTGTACACATTCACACATCCACATGCCACTACTCGTCAACGCTTCATACTCCTCAGTCTACTAGGATATTCCAAACAATACAAAAACATCGACAACAACTGTCTGACTGATTGGCTGGCTGACTGACTAGCTGTACAAATATTCTCCTCCCAAAACTACACGTCAGCATTCGAGCCGTAGACCAGAGGATTCACTCACTAGAGATGTGAAGAGCTAAAGAGGGGAGAGGAAATACTTCTCACTAGTCTAAACCATCGACTCACATCTACATAAACCCACATAAATGCCGTGATGATGGGATTCACCAGAATCAGAAACACTCCGTTTCATAAAGACCAATTGTGGACACAACAAATTCGCCCTACCACATTCTCTCCATGTCTCTCTATCTCTCTCTCTGTCCTTCTGAGTGGTTGTCACCATTAGATGAATGTATGCTGATGTACAACGTCGAGGATGTGTTCGGTTGTGTAGAGACAGTCAGTGATATTAGCACGAACAATGAAGCTATGAGATCCTTGGAAACGGTTGACTACATATGTGAACTAATAAACGACAAATCCATGAGTATTGGGATCCCAGTAGAAGTCGTTAAACGACTCCCACTAAAGTGACGTATGAAGGTGAATGTTATATTTGACGATGAGGCGTGCAGAGAGGTGGTGGGTGATGTTCCAATGGGTGGGCTTTTGACTGCATGTAAGCACCGCAGATTTCTTCCCAAGTAAGCTAAAAGACAATCTCTCGCAAAGGTTCATCAAAAACTTCACATTTCTTTGTCGACACATAGATTAGATGGTGTATTTATCCTTTGTCAAAATGACTCAGATAACATCATGCATGATACACCGCCATTTCAATGAATTTTGAAATACATCCAACCATCAAAATCACGTATGAAGAAGAATCCCAAGGGTAAATCACCTTCGTCGGTGTCTTTGTCACAAGAAGATCACATAAAATGAAGTCCATTTGAGAAAAGCAAATGGACAGGACAATGTACGCATTCCCATAGTTTCGTGTCAGCCAACATGTACAAAAGTAATCAGACAAAGTCACTCAGCTATAAAGTGCCAACTGTATACTGGGAAGATATCACTCATGACGAGCTAAATACTCAACATGATAGCTTAACTAAATGTAGCTGTCCGGAGAAGTTCATAAGGAAGCAGATGACTCAGAAAGTGGAAAATAAATATCCACAGAATTTGTAGTCCTCACAGTTTCCAGTCAATATTCTCTACACACCTAATTGCAATACCGAATGTGAAATGTGAACATTCTAGGCTGACCGCTCCTTCCTTCCTTCCTGTAACTACCAATTAACTTGATTGTCTTTTTATTATTATATGCACTGTTGTTCCCTTGGGTCACGAGTCGAACATACGGCTTCAACATACGCTCTCCCGGTTATCTGACAAATCATTCTTAACCACATAATTGTCATACAGGCATCATTGTCAACATCTATGAAAGACAATGCAATCAAGAAATGATAATTTCACTCACCTTCATAAGTGAGATAGATATACATTATTAAAGAGGTCGACTATTCTGAGAAATAATTGTTAGGCTGCATGGAAACCAGGGGGGGAATACTGGACAGATATTTCGTTCTAGTATGACACTACTCAGCGGTACCCTCGCGACAGTGTCCCACATCATCACCTTCCGACCATGAGGACAGATCGTAGACCATTCAGACACTTGGACCCAATCCAATGGCTAGTCCATCAATCTCAACATCTACCAATTCGCGATATACATATATATATGTGTAGGCAGAAACCACTTCAAAGCGATACTTCGGTCCTATTTTCAGTTGACCATCAATATCCACCTCATCATTCCTAAATACCTACAGAGCTCCGCTAATTCGGATTTCAGTGTACAGACTTCTTGCCTCAAAACCAACCACTTCTTCATCGTGCAGCAAGCTAAAGTGAACAATATATGCATTTAATCCATATATACATATTTTCATACCTTCATTTCTCTGCAGTACAAAAGAAATTTGGTAGCGACACTCACCTTGTTACAGTTTCACAGCTGTATTTTCACAAGGTGTAATTGATGATCAACTTAACATTGAATACAACGCTACAACTGAAAGTAGCTATCCCGAACAGTTCATCACCAACTACATCGTCAAGAAAGTCGAAAACAGCTCTTCTCGTCTATCACCTACTTGATTTTCATGCTTCCAAATGCCTACCAGTCTCGCTGAATAAACATGTAGCAGAAGCCATCAACAGTTACTTACATACTATACTAGACCACCTGGTCCAACACACACCAGAAAACGAGCATTGAACAATCTTCTCCTATCATGCCAAATGCCTCTAGACACTGAACACTAGAAGCAGCAGAGGTTGTTGCAATTCGCTTAAACCAACCACTGATCATCGATCTGTGTGAGAAAGGAACAAGTTCAGTCAATATTGTAGACCTAGTCTTGTGTGCAATCAACAAATTCATAATTACTCCATTCAGCCATGACATTCACGCATGATCTGCCTTGCTCTTTCACTAAATTCACCACACCACACTACACCACATCACATCACATCACATCATCCTTCATTTTTACGCCTCTACGAACAAACATTTCGTCTTCCCAATTTATCAATCAATCAGTCAATCAATCAATTAATGCACTTACAGAATGCAGTACACACACACACATACACGCACAATCCTCCACCTCCTCGTCTCTACATTCTCTGCATATTTTCATTATTCATCTCAAGTTTACAATCAGCATGAATACAATTCAAATCGAACACAAGTCATGAAGGTTCAGACGCAGAACAAGAAAAGTAGTCAACTATGCTCTCCACACACCAATCAAATCATCCATCCGTCTAACTGACTGAATAAATATGACCAGGAATTATTAACTACACAAACGATTCGATGCATCATGACCCTACCCTCATCATCATGACACTATAACACCTAGTTGAACATGATCCTATCACCTCGATTGTCAGTGAACATGAACCTCTTAAATCATTCTCCACCAACATCTCATCAAAATACATTGACCTCCGTATATTCAGCCTCAAACCCATCATCCATCACATATTCACATTCACATTCATATAGCCACACGAGAAAACACCAGATGTCTAACCAAACTATCATTTGATAAATCAAAGCTTACTAAACAAACTGACTAACTAACACAGACTCTATCCAGAGTCTTGCTATTTCAACACACTTCAACATGAACATTTCACCCACTACTCACTTGTTTACGCTGAATATCATGAGTTCATCAGGCCGATTTCTCTAACACAGGATACACGCATCGATGCATGGATGATTAGTTAACCAACGTGTCTCTTCTCCTCATCACAATCCATTTCCATTCGATCAATGCAACAACAAAAACAACAACAACAACAACAGCAACTGTACGATTAATCTCACCTAAACACATTTTATCAATCATCGAAATCACAAAACAAACACAAATCCATCACCTGTACTCCCCACCCCACCCCCCAACCACAAACACACACACACACACAATGTTTCAAGCACAACAACTATCAGTCAAAACAAATCCCACGTCGTCATTTCAATCACTCACAACACCCACATCGTCGGGCTGGCTCCCATCATCATAAGTAGACAAAATCAAACTCACATTTCCCAGAACACCTTCTACACCGGAGGACGCCAGCCAACTAAGTCGCTCGCTGGCTGGCTGGCTACACATGCTCTCTTTCACAATACATGCCACATTACTCACCAAAACTATTTTCAAATTACACGCTACAGTAACTCATTCAAAAAGACATCATTAGTGAATACATACATGTAAATATTTATTATAAATATCGAAATTAATAAAAACTAGGGATATCTGATTTACGCGTACTTCCTTCCTCATTCTGTCTTCAAGATTGCGACAATGAATTCCACTTCCTACAATAATATTCTTTCATCATTCTCATACTTTCAAGCCACATTTCCGCAGCTTCAATCTCCAAATCCAGACATCGCATCTTCTTCTCAAACAGTAACGACTCACGTCTTCTTCTCTCATCCACATCACATCTACAGGGAGAGAAAATTCTGTTATTTACTCCTCACAAAATAACTCAAGTAAGTATGAGAAGTTGTGAAATCCACAACAACGGTCACATAACTACAGGTCGAAACACTCAACACCACCACCAACAACAAAATCTGTCTCTCCTCAATATCATGTCCGACTACTAACTTATCCACAACCACCTACAACAAACAATCCCGTAGTCTTCTCAATTACCTCCCCACTTCCACACTTTCCACCTTAACCTTAACTTCATTACCAATTGTACGAATCACCTTCGATACACTCGTTGTCTATTTCTCTCCCTAAGTCGGTCTCACACGAACACATGAATAAACAATATGTATCGATGAAACGTATCAGAGCACAGTACCAATACGCGACGAAACAGATGTCAACAACTCCTGTGCCAAATGCCTTCGTTGCACGTTTCTCGACTTCACTTCTCCTTTTGACTCTTTCTGTACCTAGATGTCTCTTGTTAAATAAGCTCTCAATGACACAAACACATCCCAGCATTTTTCCAAGTAACTCAGTCTTTCTCCTCTCTTTCTATCTCCTTTCGCTAATCAGTACTAAACCTTCAGGTAGTGCATTCATTCATTCAGTCACTCATCGATTCATTTATTCATTGGGTCGTTAGACATATATATAAATAACGTTTGCAATAGGGGGACCAGTTTCTATTGTGAAGACGCTGTGAAATTTTGATCCACGCGTATTCAGGCATAAGCTGATTCTTGTGTTCCACTACTAATTCCGTCAATAATTTCATCTCATCATCTGTGTATCTCGTCGGCGTGATTAACTTCGCTTGTTGTCTGATTAGTTCAGATTGTGTCGGACGTGCAGTGGCCATTTTAAGGAATAATCCAGTGATTGATTGATTGAGTGAGTGAGTGATTTTCACAGATATCAATCCCGTATTATGATTTAATACTTCCTGCTGTCGGTTAGTTTATTAGTTAGTTAGTTAGTTCTACTGGGTGAATTAATCTATCCTGTCTATGTCTTCGCTTAGCGTTTGCTACTTTAAATTGCATACATGCAAGATACGAGGATACCAGTGTGAGCCAATCAAATAGACTTTTGAAAGTGAAAAGGCTAGGAAGATTTATCGATCGTTGGTTGTTATTTTTTCCAATATAATTTGTCTCACTCGTCAGCAACAGTATTCCCTTGACTTTAGGGTCGAAATCGTGTTTTGATTGGACGACGTGATGCAGTGTGTGAGTGTGAGTGTGGGTGTGTTAGTCCACCCACCCACAAACAGCCTATCTCACTCTCCCTCTCCCTCCTCCTCTCTCTGCCCTCTACCCTCTGTCTCCAGTCTACCTGTGACCTTCAATCCTTCTCACCCATGTCATGTCTAACTCCTCATTGGTTGAACAATGTGAACAGTGTTTTTTTCATTATAATGAGTCAACAGAACAGAACACAGCAAAAATAGCCTACAAACAGACAGTGGATGGATGGACTGGAATTCTGATTGAGACTATGACAGTGTCTGTGTATGCCTGACTAACTGACTGAGTGAATGGATTGATGGGTGGGTGAATGCGTGAGAGAGAAGTCAACAAAGTGTGAGAATGATTGCATGCATGGATGCATGCATGAACAAATTGACTACCACAACCAGTGTATCTGCTCAACTACTCAACTACTTAATATTTTCTTTCATGCCATCATAATTTTCACACAGAATGCAATTTTCAGCCTTCTCTACATCACCACACTACACCATGATACATAGATGTGGCAACAATTTGTCTCCTTTTCCAGAGAAATAGTAAAACTAAATGAACAGCCAAATGCTGAAGGTGGTTAAGTTAATTGAGCTGTAATCTATCGTCTGTGTTGTAATAACAATTCTCCGTATCATTTGATTTGATATACTACAGACTGCTATGCTATTCTACGTGGAGATGGATCGTGGATGAGGAGAAAATATTCTGCAATGAATTACTCTGAGATTTCTGTACACTTTGCACACACTTAGTTTAGTTTAGTTTGTTCACCATTAAGCAACTAATAGTTTACCAATGATTTGATGATCTTGATAAATTATTTCTTAGTTGGAGTGTTATTTTTGTTGAAGGCACGCGATGTAGTGCATGTGCATTTGTGTGTGTGTGTCTCTCTCTGTGTGTGTGTGTGTGTGCGTGTCAATGGGGGCGTTTTTTAATGCAAGCCTTTGACTCTCTACTCTCCATCTGCTATAGGTCTGAGATATTTTATCGTTTTCATTCATGTCTAGTCCATAATTGGTCGAACAAGGTGAAGAGTTCTTCTTCTTCATCATACTGCACTATCACAACATGAAAATCTCTCAGAGTAGGCAAACTATCCTTCGATCGATTGATCGATCAGTCTATTGGTTTGTGGATGGATGGACGGACGGACGGATGAATACACCAGGAGAATTTATTTCACGTCAGCCAAACTGTCAGGCAGTGAATTACATTGAGAATGAATAAGTGTATTACAGAAATCATACTATCTTCCCTCTCTCTCCCCCTCTCTCTGCTTCTCTCTGTGTGCGTGTGCCTGTGGAGAGAAAGGTTGATGAGGTGTGTGAAAAATCACGAACAAAGTGATGATGAGCGTGATTGTTCAACGAAACCTCATCTGTATGTTTTGTTTGTGTGCCTCTGTGTGTGCGTGTGCGTGTGTGTGTCCGTGTGTCTGTGTGTGTGTGTGTTTGTGGCAGGAGAGAGTACATGGACCAACCAGCCATTCCGGAGACTTAAATTCAGTGTCAGTGTGAATGTGACACATATGCCTTGCATCAATTCCCTTCAACAACTCACAGTCATTAGATAGAGTTTCTTATTATTTTCATAATTAACAGGTTTTCAGTGGATTCCCTCTCACGTAGAATGATGGAGGAGGGGGAGTACTCAATTAAAATCAGGTGAGTTTCCATTTATGAGATGAACAGATGAGCAGTATTTGTGTGACAAATGTGTTGTGGTGTGATGTGGTGTGGTGTGGTGAGGTGGGGTGGGGTGGAGTGAGATTAATCCTTTCAGAAAACACTGTGAAATTCGCAAAAAGACGTATAAATATCGAAATCTGTTTAATTGATCGTAAATAATCTAACCAACCAACTATATGAGGGATTAGCGGAGTTTCGAAATGGTTGTCGTTAAGACTGAGAGCACTTGGAAACAGGAATCCGCTTCATAAAACTAAGCGATTTAGAATATGGAGACGCGGATTATCGCAAGTAGCACGCTTGACAAGGAGACAAGTATTGAAATACGGAGAAAAATGTGGAGTCGAGAAAACGTAGAAACAAGCGAAGAAAGTTGTAGAAAATGCTTCCTTATCATCACCTGTGAGTTTCTAAATGACGACGAATTTATAGAAAGTCGACAGCGGAGAGGCGAATGAATGAATCGATGAGTCAGAAAATCGAGGTGAAGTTTCTGATGAACCATTGCAAGAGACTGTCTTTTAGTTTACTCGGAAAGAAATCTGCTGTGCTTACATGCAGTCAAAAGCCCACCCATTGGAACATCACCCACCACCTCTCTGCACGCCTCATCGTCAAATGTAACATTCACCTTCATACTTCACTTTAGTAGGAATCGTTTAACGACTTCTACTGGGATCCCAATACTCATGGATTTGTCATTTATTAGTTCACATATGTAGTCAACCGTTTCCAAGGATCTCATAGCTTCATTGTTCGTGCTAATATCACTGACTTTGTCTACACAATCGAACACATCCTCGACGTTGTACATCAGCATACATTCATCTAATGGTGACAACCACTCAGAAGGACAGAGAGAGAGATAGAGAGACATGGAGAGAATGTGGTAGGGCGAATTTGTTGTGTCCACAATTGGTCTTTATGAAACGGAGTGTTTCTGATTCTGGTGAATCCCATCATCACGGCATTTATGTGGGTTTATGTAGATGTGAGTCGATGGTTTAGACTAGTGAGAAGTATTTCCTCTCCCCTCTTTAGCTCTTCACATCTCTAGTGAGTGAATCCTCTGGTCTACGGCTCGAATGCTGACGTGTAGTTTTGGGAGGAGAATATTTGTACAGCTAGTCAGTCAGCCAGCCAATCAGTCAGACAGTTGTTGTCGATGTTTTTGTATTGTTTGGAATATCCTAGTAGACTGAGGAGTATGAAGCGTTGACGAGTAGTGGCATGTGGATGTGTGAATGTGTACAGTCAGTCTGCAAACTCGATGGGAATATGTTTGTGAGTGTTGTGGTGTTTACATTTATCGAGTGAGAGGTGGTGACATCAGGCGAAGAGAAATGACTTTGATTTACTTCGAGTTGATTTGATTCAGTGAGCTTATGGGATGCTCATCTTTAGTCGACTCCTTCCTCACTCATCAACATGTTTCGTGTTCACCTGTAATAGGAGCAATCAGGTGGATTAGAAATAGGCCGACTTCTTCTGTTTAGCGGAGAATAGGCACGAAATCATTTCCGTCATCACATAGTAGTTATATTTGATGAAATCCACACAATGAGTAATACAGTATTATATCTGGATGACATGTCGACTGCAATTTATTAGTCATAATCCTGTCAAGGTGCTGACATAACATCGGATGTTGTTTCTATACTTCTATTATCTCTTATCCTCTGATTTTATTTCCGGTATTATAGCCGATATCTCTGTTATTGGTTCAGCTTATTTCGTGTGACAAGTGATCTGTGTGAATTTGGAGAATAAGGATTCAGTGATCGAATTCGCCTCCCATCTGACTATGTCACCTTTTATATATGTGAATTCCGACCTATTATGTGACTGAACTGTGTTAGTATTGAATTTCCCTGTAAGCTAATAACCTTCTTGAGGTCGATAATCCTGAAATCTGCAAATTTCCTATGACCCGATATCTGCATGAAAATAGATAATCCTACTCGAAAGGTATGGCGGAAAAGTAAAAGTTACACGGTATCCACGCTGTTAATAACACAACATATCTCTAGTTAATTCACACTTAACAACTCAATATTGGACGGA